CATGTTCGGCTTCTACTGTTAATTACACTTCAAATTAATGTAAATTTGTATTTGAAAGTTCTAAGTATTCTTTCTTACTATAGAAGCAATGTGTCAAAAGCCATTTTGTCAATTGTAATTTAAAAGTATGTCCTTTGTAACAATTTAATTTAATTTGGCAAATTGTTGAAAATAATTATATCTTGAAACAGTTTTTCTTATGAATTACTTTATGGCAACGAGGTTGGTACAAAAGATTCATAATTTTTTATCTAGTCTGCCTTTGATTAATTTCACCACGTGTTTTGAAATATTGAGGATATGTTTTGGCAAATACACAGATATCCCCAATGTACATGCATGCCAAAGGTAGTATATTTAGTTTTTTGAACAACGGTTTACAGCTGTTGTCAAACCATGTACCGCAGATCGACCGAATGCTAGTCTACTGAACCTTAAACGCACTTTCTGCGAATTGCAGAACTTTCTTACCAACTGAGCTACGGGTCCAGTTACCGAGCCGTCGAAGTTCTCTTACGTGTTTTTGTTACAGATCTTTGTACTGGCTTTCGGCATTTGTCACCGTTAGTGACATCTAGTGAGAGATTTTTGAATAACCTCACCGCAGCTATACCTTTACAGGTATCACAACTGACGCAGATGTCGCTTTTCGGTCAAATGTATTATTGAGATTTTTTGTGAAATAACTATACTACTTGTTTTGTTTGCACAAAGCTCTTCTCTCCAAGCTCCCGGCGTACGGTTTACCAGCCCAGTTATGCAGCTGGATTGCCGATTTCCTTCGTGAGCGGAGAATTCGCGTCGTTTCTGACGGCAGCATTTCGAGGTTCGTGAATGTGAACGGCGTACCGCAGGGATCCGTCCTATCTCCCACGCTTTTCCTTCTGCATATCAATGATATGCTTCCACTTGGGAATATTCATTGTTATGCAGATGATAGCACTGTTCATGGGGGATATCACGGATTCCCCGCAGCTGGGCGCGCCGATACTGACAGAGAGCGATCTAATCTTGTCGGTGAGCTCAATAGGATATTGGACCTCATCTCTGCATGGGGATCTAGAAATCTTGTTGAGTTCAACGCCAAGAAAACACAGGTTTGCGCGTTAACAACAAAATTGTCGCCGTTCCTTCCCATGCCTTCTCTGATGAGCACAGCACTTTCACCTCAGAGCAGTTTTACCTTGCTCGGTATGGAAATCTGCTGTGATTTGAATCCAAGGAGCTACATCGAATCTGTGATCAAAACAGCCTCACGGAAACTTGGAGTCCTGAACAAGGTGCGACGTTTTTCACGCCGGACCAGTTATGCCTGCTGTACAAAACACAGGTCCGGTCTTGCATTGAGTATTGTTCGCACTTGTGGGACGGCTCCGCCAAGTACCTACTCGATGCCTTGGATAAATTACAGCGTCGTGCTACTCGAATTATAGGCGACGAAGAGGTCTCATCACGCCGTGAACCTCTGCAACTGCGTAGAGATGTTGCATCG